TGAGCAGTTGCTCCAAGTATATAAGGGATTCATTCGTCCTAACTTGGAGTACTGCTCTCATATCTGGGGTGGCTCTTCTTCTGTCCAACTATTAGTTAGGGTAGAATCAAAGGCATTTCGTCTTATTAACTCTCCTCCTTTAGTCAACAATCTCTCTTCCCTTTCTCTTCGCCGCAATGTTGCTTCACTCTCTCTCTTTTACAGGTACTTTAACGGGCAATGTTCGGTGGATTTGGCATCCTGTGTACCGCCGGCAAGGCCGTGGGTTCGCAACACATGTCTTGCCCGCGGTGCCCACCATTTCTCTGTGGATGTCGGTCACACGAGAATAACCCGTTATAGTACCTCCTTCTTTCCTCACACAGCCAAGCTGTGGAATGCTCTGCCTTCTTCTGTGTTTCCATGCTCTTACAATGTCTCACTTTAAAAAGCTGGTTTTCCGGCATCTTTGTGGTATAGATTAATACAGTATAACCTTTTTTTCTATATTTACAATTTCTTTCCGTTTTCTTTTTCGCCCCCCAGGCTCCGTTGTGGATCGTTTGACCTGTGCCCGGGTGGGCTAATTCCCGTAAAAAAAAAAACTATCAGGAACGCCCGCTCTATCAATCACGCCCCACTATTAACCACGCCCACACTATAAGTAACACCCACACTATCAATCACGCCCACGTTATCAGTCACACCCACGCTATCAGTCACATCCACACTATCAATCACACCCACGCCAAGTTTCACACCCATGCTATCAGTCACACCCACACTATCAGCCACGCCCACACCATCAGTCACCCACGTTATCAGTCACGCACACGTTATCAGTCACACCCACGCTATCAGTTACACCCACTATCTCACACCCACCCAGTCACACCCACGCTGTCAGTCACGCCCACGCTGTCAGTCACGCCCACCAAGTCACACCCACGCTGTCAGTCACGCCCACGCGTCTGTCAGTCACGCCCACGCTGTCAGTCACGCCCACACTATAAGTAACACCCACACTATCAGTCACGCCCACGCTGTCAGTCACACCCACGCTATCAGTCACACACACACGTTATCACTCATACCCACACTATCATTTAAACCTATGCTATCAACCACACCCAAGCTGTCACTCGCTCACACACACACACACATGACCAGTCACGCCAATGTCTTGTCGCTACCTCATTGTGTATTTATGAAGAAAATGGCGCATTGCAAAACAGATGAAACTAACACGCTATTACAATGAACACTGTCTATCAACCTTCCTGTGGGTGCGTGACTGTTATCTGCCTGGCGACAAAGGAACTGAAGTTGTTGTAAATGAGTTTTATTTGTAATTTAAAAATGAATTTGTCCTCTGTGTGTGTGTGTGTGTGTGTGTGTGTGTGTGTGTGTGTATGTGTCATTATCCAAGCCTATATATAATTCAAATCGGTATTTACATATTAATTACAGCAACTCAGGTAACTATTGCGAATAACTTTTACCATTTTGGTAATATTTGCAAATTTTAACATCTAAAAAAAAGGTAGTGAAAGAAATTATAGTAATAATAGAATACAATAATATCTTGAAAATACGAAATATAAAAGAAACGGAAACTGATATACAATGGCGGCCATATAAGTTGTTGTTGAGGTCATCGTGTGCTTCAGGTGTACCTAAGAACATAAGAACATTTGAAAATAAGGAGTCTGCAATAGGCCGGCTGGGCTGTGCATGGCAGCTCCTGTCGAGAGTTACTACCACTTCCTATCATCCATGGATCTATTTAGCCTCCTTTTAAAACTTTCCAGCGTTCCAGCACTTACTACAAAGTTGCTAAGCTTGTTCCACTCGTCTACCACCCTATTTATGAACCAGTTCCCTCCTATCTCCCTCCTAAACCTAAACTTATCCAACTTAAATCCGTTGCTACGAGTCTTATCCTGCTCGGATATTATAAAAACTTTATCTACTGTATATCTCCTCTATTGATTCCTTTCACCCACTTAAATACTTCTATCAAATCTCCCCGCACTCTTCGTCTTTCTAGGGAATGCAAGTTTGGTTTCTTTAGTATATCTTGATATGGAAGGTTTCTAATTCCCGGAATCATTTTCGTCATTTTTCGCTGCACCGACTCCAGTGAATTGATATCCATTCCATAATAAGGGCACCAGAACTGAACAGCATAATCGAGGTGCGGCCTGACTAGCGTAAGATATAGTTGCAATAAGACCTCTGCACTCTTATTACTTACACTTCTAGATATAAAACCTAATACTCTGTTTGTCTTATTTCAAATATTAACGCACTGATTTCTAGGCAGTAGGTCCGGACTTACAAGGACCCCTAAGTCTCCTTTCACAAGTTGACTTCTCTAGGTTGATGTTGTTAAGCTGTATACATTGACAGTATTTGTTTTTCCAATATTAAGTACGCTGCACTTGTTGGTATTGAATTTCATTTGCCATATTTCTGACCACTGATGCAGTTTATTTAAATCCTCCTGTAGTGCATTTACTTCCTGCCCTGAATTAATCTGCCCCCCTATTTTGGTGTCATCCGCAAACTTGCTTATGTCACTGCTGATCCCAGTATCTAGATCGTTTATGTAGATTATGAACAAGAGTGGGCCTAGTACTGACCCCTGGGGAACCCCACTTGTTACACAGCCCCACTCACATTTAACACCATCTACCTTGACCCTCTGTGTTATATCGGTGAGCCATGATTTTATCCAATTTAAAACTTTCCCCTCGATACCATGAGCCTTAACTTTTCTCAGAAGCCTCTGATGCGGTACTCTGTCAACCGCTTTGCTAAAGTCTAAGTAAATAACATCATAATTTTCGTTATTACCTACTACCTCGAAGACTTTCCTAAAAAACGTTAGCAGATTTCGTATACAAGATTTTCCCTTTGTAAACCCATGTTGAGCCGGTAATTTGACGCTGATGCTCTGTCTCCCTTTTTGATTATGTTTACTACATTTGCCTGATTCCACAAGTCTGGCACAACTCCCGTGTCTAATGATTTTGTTAATAAATTTACGAGGGGTCCGCTAATCTATTCCTCACTCTTTCAAAACTCGAGGGAAAACTTCATCTGCCCCTGGGGATTTTGTCTTCTTTAATTTATTTATCTTCTTTAGAACATCTTCTTTTCTAATAGTAATATTCTTTAATTTCTCTTCTTCATTTACCCTAAATATCAGTTCCACCTCTGGAATTTCCTCGTGAATTTCTTCTGTGAAAACTGATAAGAAGTGGCTGTTTAATGCTTTGCTTATTTTCTCACTATCATCGATCACTTCCTGTAAAGGCCTGGGAATAAGGGATTGAAATCCCTTACCAGACTAATCAGGTTCTTAATAAAGGAAAGTCAAGGACCATGGTTTTCTGAGGAAAAGCAAACAACCGTTTGAGATTGACATCTCTTTACTATAAAAAATATATAACACAAATCTCTGACACCACTCAACAAACATCAAATAATTACGGGAGTCAAACAATTAATGCCGCCAATAGTTAATGGAGTTAATCAATTAAGGGAAGCAAACAATTAAAGGAATCAAACAATTAATGGGAGTCAGCAATTAATGGATTCAAACAATTAATTGGAGTCAACAATTGATAGAATCGAACAATAAAGGGGAGTCAGCAATTAATGGAATCAAACAACCATAGACTAAAACAATGAACAGATATTTCCTACGGCAGTGGCCCTGGGGGAAGGTTCTGGAACAGGGTGATCCACACTCAGGGTAGGGAAGCGTCAATTCAACTCCACACTCAGCGACGTCTTGAAATGGCAGGAGAACACCGGGACACAGACGGAATGAGATGAACTGACGGTCGTGGTATGTGGTAGTGGTAGGTGACCAGAGAATTGACAGTCGATAAGTGAAGGTCTGGGGACACAGCCCACGAGTCCAGGACCTATGATGAGAGCACAGCCAGAATATGACGAACAGCGGGGTAGCTAGATAGTGACTGTATGGCGGCTGGGGTGAATCTGCCTGTGACACGGGTAGCAGCTGCCATTCTCACCTCTGTCCAACCGCCCTAAGTGTTGTCCGCACCAGCAAACGAGAGAGTTAGCAGCGGTAATGAGCAGGGAGATCGTCTCCGCCCTTACACTTCCCCTCTCTCTGACTTTAAAGGTCCCACTTTGTCCTTGACCTTTGTCCTATATACATGGAAAAATTCCTTGGGATTCGCCTTGGATTCTCTTGCTATCCTGACTTCTTAGTCCCTCTTTGCCTTCCTTACATTTTTTTTAACATTCCCAGATTGTTCATTATACCTATATCTGAGCTGCTCCTCCGCTCCCTCTAATTTCTTATAAATTCCTGTTTTAAGTCATGTTTAAATTTTTTGGTCATCCACCTTGGCCTCATTCTTATTTGACCTAATTTTTCTGTATGGTATATTTCGTTCTTGTGCTTTATGTAGTATACTAGTGAATATATTATAGTCATGATCAATTGTTGTGTCATCTATGACCTCACCCCTTCCTACTGGGGACTGACGTGACTGTTCCCAGGTGACCTCACCTAGGTACCTTCTTAACCCCTGATAATCCGCCAACCGAAAGTTTGGGACTCTGACCATATTGTCATTATTTTTCGTTTCCCAATTTAGGGTGAACCTGATTTCTCTGTGATCACTGTTACCTAGTTCTTCCCCTACTGTGATATCTCTGATAATATTTTCTTTATTTGTTAATACTAGGTCTAATATATTGTCACCTCTAGTAGGTTCTGTAATTAGTTGTTTCAAAAAATTGCCCTGTACTGCGTCTAGGAAGTCTTCATATTCAAAGTTACCTACAATGTTTTCCTAGTCAATATTTCTGAAGTTGAAATCCCTCTGAAGCAACACGTCACCATTTCCAGGGAGGAACCACAGTACCATGATGGCAGGGAGAGACATTGTGATGGTGGTGGTGTGGATGGTGATGGTTCTGTTGGTAGTGATGGCCGCAATGGCCATGGCCGGTGCACCACCAGTACTAAATTCGGTAACTTTATGGTGGTACCGGGGAAGGCTCTGTCTGCTGGTGACTTTTACGGCGTCTACACCTTAGATAACGCATGTGAGTTACGTCATCGTCACGTTGTTTCAAAAGAGTTTCAGTAACATTTTAATCTTCTCCATTTTTTGTATTATTTAATTTAATGTAGGAATTAATGAATTATTTTGATAATAATAACAAATAAAGCCACGTAACTATTTAGCTCCCCCATAATCCTGCCCAAGATTACAACCTGAGAGAGTTAGCTGGTGATCACTGCACCTCACAGCTCAGGTAATGGTTTTGTCTAATAAATATTTTGTTCTTATTTACAGGTAATTTATTATGAATAATTTAAGTTATTGCAACTTATAATTGTACTTTTTCTCTATGATAATTAAAGACTTGCAATCACCTTTCTCTTTAAATAATAATTAGAGAATTTGTGATGAGTTTTGTGATTGTTTTGGTGTAAAATACATCATCATTATCAGCCGCGTAATTTGTGAACATTACTTATAAAAGATACTTTTACCTGTGGTGTGTTTCTTCACATATGTTAAGTAGATAAGTACTTAACCTTCAGTTCAACCCTCAACTTACACTGAGGCTCAGAGACCATCTATGATATATCTATAAACGTATTCATTACACTGACGAAGGTTTTATCGGCCGTGTAGGTACGTGTCGCCTGGCGTGTTGGTCTGCCAAGCGGTGTGTGGCGGTAGCAGCGGTGCCAGATACAAGTGCCAACACGGTACAGTGCCACTTGTCTGAGAAGGGACCCATCAACCACACCCTCACCGACACCCCGGACGCCACCTACTACTTCTGGGAAGGTCAGCTGTTGGTGAATCTTTCTCGTAATACTAATGTTAATTATTGTGTGTTTATCAGTGTTGTAGAGAAGCCCGTGTTGTGGGGGTCAGTGTCGGGTCCTGGAACAAGTTTCATATAATAAAATAATATATTGTCAGGTTGTGACTCAGTAAACAGTAAATTGTCTCTAAACAGCTTCGGTGCCAAACAACTTCTACGGGATCATGAAGGACAACTACCTGTATCTGGTGACGAACCATCAAAGAACATTTACCCACGGGAAGGAACTGTGCGCCAAGATACCTGGGCACCGCCTCGCCACCATCAAGACTGCTCGCCAGTTTGAAACAGTCACCGCCATGTTGAATGCTAACAGCATGTCTTGGGGGTCGTGTGAACGCTTTTTGCTCGACGCCATGCAATATGACCCTCTGTTATTGTTGCTATATTGGCTCTTGTGTAAACTCATTCAACAAGATAGATAGATAGTCATTATTTGTTGGGTGAGAGGTGTACCGTCAGAAGACCTGGGCAACACAATGGCTGGGTCGTAACATAAACATGATAACCTAAAGTCACGTCTTCAAGGCCTCAGCCACATTGTATGTTACTTAGCATCTCTGTTCGTCCAGCATAACCCGTCGACCGTCAGTGTGTTATTACTGCTCACGTATCTCTGGTCGTCCCGTCACCTGTCCTGACATAAGGGGCGAGGTACCCCTTGATGTGGTTCTAGGAGGATGGTAATGACAATGGGTTGTATTTAAAGGGAAAACAGGGAACCGCATAAAGATTCGCCACCTCAGCTTATTTTACCTGAGGCTTAAACACCCTAATGCTACATTGAGGGGTTAGTTGGTTAAGTTAGGTTAGCTTAGGTTTCGTTTGATTAGGTTAGATTAACTTATGTTAGGTTAGTTCATGTTAGATGAGATTAGTGAGTTAGGTTAGCTTAGGTTTCGTTTGGTTAGGTTAGCTTAACTAATGTTAGGTTAGTTCATGTTAGATGAGATTAGTGAGTTAGGTTAGATCAGTGGTTCTCAACCTTGTTTGCCCCATGCACCCCTTTCACCATATGTCAGAATGTCATTCCCCCCTCCTTTCCAAGATTGTCTGCCTCAAAAAGTGCATTCCAAATAATATGCATATAATACTGAAAATCCTTTATTTTTTCCATATTAGTATCAGTTCCCCCCTGAAAACCTGAGGGGGGAAATTCCCCCCTGGTTGAGAACCCATGGGTTAGATTAACTAATGTTAGGTCAGTTCATGTTAGATTAGATTAGTGAGTTAGGTTAGATTAAGTTGAATTAGTTTAGGTCAGCATGAGGGTAGTTAAGAAATCTGAAGATAAAATTAGCTAAGGCTTCCTAATCTTAAGATGATTCTAGAAAAAGTTGCATCGTTAAAATAACCAAAAACACATCTCTCTCTCTCTCTCTCTCTCTCTCTCTCTCTCTCTCTCTCTCTCTCTCTCTCTCTCTCTCTCTCTCTCTCTCTCTCTCTCTCTCTCTCTCTCTCTCTCTCTCTCTCTCCTGACAGGCTGGCCAGTGTGGGTGGACCTGGAGAAGCCTGGGGTACTTGCAACACCTCTGCAGTGGGGAGATGGAACTCTGTACGGGGATGGCACCGTGACACAGCTGGCAACCGTTGTGACTGAGAGGGATTATGCAGCTGTCTACCGCCTAGAAGATCAAAACTTCGACGATAAATCAGACCCTGACCTTTATTACATCCTGTGTCAGGCTAACCCACTCGGTCTAGACTGGTAGTGAGGGAATTTCCTCATGAGGCCTTGTAGTAAGTATGTCTGGCTCAGTCTGGAGTTTTGGTAGCATAGGTGTCCTTCTAGAGTTATGGTAGTATGTAGCTCAGTCTGGATTGGTAATAGAGTGTAGTAGTAAAAATCTAGAGGATACACACAAAGACTAAGCACAAAGACAATGCGGCAGCAATGAAGAGAAGATTGACAATGTGGCAGACTGGGGCCCTTGATGATCTCCTATGTGAAGCGAGAACACTGCAGGAGAGACTAAAATTTACAGGTGATGGAAAGCAAAACACCGATGACGTTGCAAGAAAGTTTGGAAACAAAATGCGTGTGGGGAAAGTGTCTCTGGCGGGAAGATCTCTCAATGAGGAATCCTCCGGTGAGGTTCTGCCAATAAACAGAGAGACATTAAAACAACTGAAAGAAAAATATCCCCTGCAAGTGAAGACGAAGGCATCAGGTTCCAAGGTGACTATATCCCACCAAATGCTGTCCAGTTCGAGAAAATAACAGGAGGGATGGTGTGCAAAAAGGCACTGAAGACTCGAGAAGGTGCTGGCCCTTCAGGTTTGGATGCAAACGGTTGGAGAGTCATCCTCAGCACTAACCAGTTTGGCCCCGTAGCAAATGATCTCTGCACTGCCATTGCCGTCCTTGCAAGAGAGCTGGCTTCCTCGTGCTGCCATCACCTCCATGCTTTGACGGCCTGCCGCCTCATTCCCCTGGATAAGAACCCAGGATGTAGGCCTATAGGGGTGGGGGAAGTACTGAGGCGGATCATCGGAAAATGCATAATGGAGGTGGTAAAGGATGATGTCAGGGCAGCAGCAGGGAACCTGCAAGTTTGTGCTGGCCACCAGGCTGGAGGGGAAGCTGCCATTCACGCCATGAGAACGATATTTGAGCAGCGTCATTGTGAGGCCGTTCTCCTGGTAGACGCTTCAAACGCATTCAATATACTTAACCGCAAGGCCGCACTGCACAACATCAAGATCAAGTGTCCAAGCCTTGCATTGTATGTTAAAAACTCCGATAGGAATCCATCAGACCTCTATATAGTAAAAAACAAGGCTCTGAGAGGTGTGACACCATCATAGTGTCAACCGAGGGAACAACGCAGGGGGACCCTGTTGCAATGGCAGTGTACGCAGTAGACCTATCCGTGCTCCAACACACAATAAATTTGTAACAACTGAGGTCAAACAAGTGGCGTACGCTGATGACCTTACAGGAGCAGGAAAAGTGGAGGACATCAAAAAGTGGTGGGACCTGGTAACATCACGAGGCCCACAAATAGTGTACCACCCAAACGCCAGCAAGTCCTTCCTCATTGTGAAGCCAGAACATTATGAACGGGCAATGGAGGTGTTCGGTGGTGGTGAGGTCAAAATAACAAAGGATGGCCAAAGACACCTAGGCGCACTAATCGGCACGACGGACTTCAAGACCGAGTACGTAACGGGAAAGGTGAATGAGTCGGTTAGGGAAATCGAAGCTCTGTCTGAGATTGCTAACACAAAGCCACATGCAGCTTTTGCCGCATTCACCCATGGAGTCAAGCATCGCTGGGACTACCTGATGCGCACTATCCCTGATATCGGACCCCTCCTCCACCCTCTGGAAGAAGCTGTCAGCGTCAATTTCATTCCCAATTTAGTGAAACACCCTCACTTAACCCCAGCAGAAAGATCACTCCTTGCACTACCACCGAGACTGGGAGGAATGGGATTGACCAATCCAGAGGAGATTGCTGCCACCGAACATCAAAACTCAGTTAAGCTCACGGCAGCCCTCACGGACCACATAATAGCACCTGTTGCTGCAAGTACCAGAGAATCTGAAAAAAAAGTAGTTATAGCACAGGAGGTGGGCGCCTCGAACTGATTAAGTTCGTTACCGATTAGGGCAAATGGCTTCAGTCTCAATAAACAAGAATTTACAGAGGCCAGTGCTCTAATGTACGGTAGGCCAGTGGAAGGTTTGCCCTCCCAATGCGTGTGTGGCTCTTCCTATGACGTCGATCACGCCATGGTGTGTAAGAAAGGGGGCTTCATATGCATGAGACATGATGAAGTAAGGGATCTCACAGCAAATATGTTGAAGGAAATCTACTGTGATGTCAGGGTAGAACCGATCCTCCTTCCATTGGACGGTGATATCTTCCAACATAAGACTTGAAACACATCCAACGAAGCCCGTGTTGACGTCAGTGCTCGTGGATTCTGGACGCGGGGACAGCGAGCCTTCTTCGACATCAGGATTTTTGATCCCGTGGCCGCATGTCACCGTAACTTAGCTCTCGATGCTGCACACAGGAGGAACGAGAACGACAAGATAAGGGCATGCGGGAGAGAATTCAGAACGTTGATCAAGGCAGCTTCACTCCTCTAGTGTTCACAACCTCTGGTGGGATGGGACCAAGTGCAAGATGCTTCTACACCAGACTCGCGGAGGTGATATCCAAACAGAACCAGCAGCCCAGAATTTACGTTACAGCCTGGATGAGATGTCGACTGTCCTTTCTCTCCTTCGGTCGGCTTTGCTCTGTCTCAGGGGAACGAGAGCTTTGGCCCCAAAGCCGACAACAGTTGCAGATATTGACTATGAGGCAACAGTTACTGAATGCGGCATAGATCTGCGGCTTAACTAACTCAACACAGGTAGGATAGCTACTTATGTATTAGGATATGTAATATTAAGGTAATAAAATGGTGGCGGAGGTATGGCTATTGGGGGAGGATGGAGGCCATTTATTGCACACAAAAAGTAACAATCTAGAGTAGTAAAAATATGTAATAGTAATAGTCTAGAATAGCTGTGACAGTGTGGAGTGGCAATAGTCTGGAGTAGTAACAGTGTGGAGTGGCAACAGTCTGGAGTAGTAACAGTGTGGAGTGGCAACAGTCTGGAGTAGCAACAGTGTGGAGTGGCAACAGTGTGGAGTAGTAACAGTGTGGAGTGGCAACAGTCTAGAGTAGTAACAGTGTGGAGTGGCAACAGTCTGGAGTAGTAACAGTGTGGAGTGGCAACATCTGGACTGGTAGTTACATTAAGCCTGAGTGTTTGAGAGTGAAACATTCAACTCTGGTAATATTGTCTTGTGTGTTAATGTAAATTATTATAAGAGGTGACAGTAATGTACTAAGACAACAAGTAGAAATATCCACACACACACTTGGTCATATACCAACTAACACACACACACACACACACACACACACACACACACACACACACACACACACACACACACACACACAGTTTACAAAGTAAGTCTTACAATAACTTAGACTAACCAATATATTGTGTGTTTTGTATTAGGTAAAAATTATAGTAGAAGATGTAAGTGTAGGTAGAGTTATGTATGTTCACATTACTGCACATATAATTACTCGATAATGTTATCACATTTATCAACTTGATAATGATGTTTAACCTCTTCAGTGACAGGGACTTACCGGATACGTCCTTTAGTCTCCACAAGAGTAAGATAAACTAGGAAGGTGAAATTACTGTTTATATCCCAACAGGCCGAGTCATATTTTATTCTTCCCTCGTGTTGGGGTGACTACTGTATGGAGCTTAAGAACTCTGTTTACTTGGATGATAAGAGACTGACCACCACCAGCTGAGTGATGGCTCCCACCACATACATCCCCCATTTAAACACCCACCCCCCATTCATACACATACCTACTCCCTCACACACCCACCCCCCATTCATACACAT